GGGGGGGGGGCTATACGCTATAACGATAGTTGGAGAAGATCGTCCGCCCGCAATGATACGTCCCCTGCATAACCGTAACCACACGGCGGCGCCGCGACTCTATCGCGCCGCCTTCTTCGCACGACACCGCGGCCGCCGCGAGCAGCAGCAGCAAGGGATGAAAGCAAATGACACAATTACCCGACAAAATCGAGCGTGACGCGTTTCCAAACGGGGGGGGGGGGGGGGCGAGGCGGGGCGCCACGGCACACTTACTGCTGCTGGCGTGGCATTCCTGCGCGTCCCCCAGCGAGCGCCCCGCAGCGCCCCCTCCTTACTGTAATTAGTTAACTATATTGTGCGTACTCGCTGCCGCCGCGCCTAACTGACAACCCGACGGACAGACGCGCAAGCCCGCGCAGCAGCCGCGGCAGCAGCTGCGGGGGCGCGCCTCCTGCCTCCTGACCCCCCGCGCCTCCCTCCTCGCCTCCATCCTCCACCCTCTCGCAGCGCGAGCCTCCATACCTCCAGGCGAGCATTCATAGCACAGACGAGAGCGAGAGAGACGGAATACGAGCAATTACTTCGCAAACATCAGCAGCATTCTTTATTTATTTTCTCCCTCCTCACCGCCGCGCCTTTCTGCAGTTCCATTAAATGAAAGAAGGACGCGCATCTTTGCAGGGGCGTGGCAGTGACGGAGAGGAGCAGCAGGTCCTGGAGCAGCACTGCGCAGCCGTCCGCAGGTACCACCGTCGGGCACGCGCCCGTGGGGAGGGGCAGGAGAAAGGGGAGAGGAGAGGGGGAAGAGAAAGGGGGAGAGGGAGAGAGAGGGGGAGAGGGAGCAATAGAGAGGGAGAGAGAAAGAGGGAGAGAGGGGGGAGTCGCAAAGGGAATGGGGGAAAGGGGGTATACAGTTGTCATTTAAAAATATATTTCACACTTCTCGTTTTTCCCCTCCGACAGTGCCTCCTCCCCTTTCCCGCACGCAGCGTCGGCCTGGCCGGGTCGGGGCGGCGGCGGCTAATTACGTCGAAAGAATTTCACAATTCCAGTGAGCCGGAACGGCCTAAGTGACAGTCGCATGGAGACAAGCGGGGGCCTGACACGGAACGGGGGGCGTACACAAGCATCGGCCAGACACCGTCTGGAGGGCGGGGAGGGCAGCGCGGCGGCGCAACGCACGGAAAGGAAAACTCTGAAAAGGGGTGCTGCAGTCATGCTGTTGCAGCAATGGGACAAGATATCCTGACGTCCTACTGATCCGAACGTAGTCCAAGGGCTTGTCCCACGACTGCTGCAATGAAAAATTTCGTTTTTAGTTTGCGCCAATCTTCCAACATCAAGCAACAAGTATCCAAGTTGTGTCCAAGTACAACTTATCAGTAGAACACTGCCAACACGGAGCGCGCCCAAACAAGGAATTGTTCAAGAAAAGAAGTTGAGCACCGAAAATCGCGCAATTGTTTGGTTGTTATGCTCAAGTATTACATCAATTTATTAGTGGACTGTTGAATCTTTCGAGGACCTCCCCCATCAATACAGAAGCATCCAAGCGCCAGGATTTGTACCGGGTGTCCCGGCTCTTACATGCCAGTACGTTGGGTTGCCTATGCACTGGCAGCAGAGGCGAAGGAGTGTCAGCTCCCCCCACTCCTCTGCCACCTCCCCGCACCTGCAGCCCCTGTAGCCAGTGCATAGGCAACCCAACGTACTGGCATGTAAGAGCCGGGACACCCGGTAGGAACGTGTATCATGACACATACGAAACACACCAACTTTCCAGTTAAACACACCAAACGCGCCCTCGTACGCACCCTCCTACGTCGCCTCCTCCCCCCATTCTTTTTACACCGTTTCCAGAAAAGAAGAGACACGCAAGGCGCAGCTATAAACGTCGTTATGCTGAATGGGAATGTTTACGATTCATTTCATAGACTGAGGGTGAGGGGTGCGTTTCGGCCGGAGGGGCACACTTGGCCCGCATCGCCACGCCCATAGCAGCGGGCCGGCTCCGGCACCTCACCAGGCCGACACATCCGACAAGAGTCTTGGGAAACAGAGGAAAGTTAGCGTCGATAGAGATAAGACAAGTAAAAAGCCGTTCTTGCGCCAGGCGGCAGATTTCAATGGCAAGATGAGCTTTTCATTTCGAGCCAGAAGATGAGGGCCACATCAGTACTCACGCCATTTGTTTCAGGAGTACTTCAACACGATACCGAACCTTCCATTGTCAACTTCCAGGTATTAAGATTTCAATCTTGTGGAATTCGGCGACTGAGGTGGCAATACTAGATAAAGCAGGAGGAGATGGAGCGCGCTGTGGGCCAGCATAGGCGACCCGTGTCCCCGCTAAATTGCACCCTGCGGTCGAGCTGCTTCGGCTCCTGGTGTACCTCGGGCCGCCTTCGGCTCGAGAGCCGAAGGCGGCCCGGGGCCGGTACGTCAAGTCGCTCTCCGGCTCCGGCGAGCTGCGCTCGGGAGGCGGGGGAGGCGGCCGGCCGGCCGCCTGCTCCGGTGATGACGCGCGTCACCGCAGATCGGCGGGGAGGTGGAGGGGAGCGCATTTACTCGACAACCCCGGACTGCTGAAGCCGAGTAGAGCCGAGGAGAGCCGAGCGCGAGCCGACGTACACCAAGCAGCAGGTAGCCGAGTTTGGAGACGGGGACGCCTTAATGGGCTGACGCTCCATCTCCCCAACTTCTTTATCTAGTGTGGCAATTGACTAACACGTATAAAACTGCTCGCTCAAGTCGAAATATTCAGCAGTTAGCGAACTGACCGTCTCTTTGCAGCAATGGCTACCAAACTTACTCTTCTCATCGCAGCAGTTGCGGTCGCCTGTGTGAGTTAGTGCAACATAGAACGATCAGTGAGACACCTTTGTGTAGATTTGGAACAGCTTGCGCCGTTCTTCTACCAAGCAATTTAACTTGGAAGTTTGGATAAAGGATATCAAATTTGTTTGCATTTGAAGTTACACATTTGTTTTTTACAGCTTGGCGTCGCCTGTGCAGCCCCCGAGGCCGCCGCCCACCATGAGAAGGTAAACGTTTAACATAACATTTCATTCCTGTATTAACACGTGCCACTGCTAACGATTCAACAAAGAGGAGTATTGTTCATCCTTCACAGCTCAACGCTTACGGCTACGGTGGTTGCGACGGTAGGACGCTCCAATACCTTCGCCAGCAAATCCAACTCTGCACGAGAAACGTCCCCTCTCAGCAATACTTCAACCCAGGCTGGACGTGCGCAGTCGATGTCAGCAGCGCACTAAGAGGCGGGTACTCCTGCTCACTGGAGCAGGCTCCGGCCTTGCTGGGCGAGTGTCTTGAGAGCTACTACCTTGATGGAGCGTCGTCACAGGCTTGCCTGCAGGGTGCAATTGACAACGGTAGCTGCTGCTGACCACTGTATTCTGCATTAATTGCGTCGGGTTGTTATTTCCAAAACAATAAACTACTTTCAGCTTATAAACCAGTCAACGTGAACGTGTATACATTTCTGACCCGTCCTTTGAAAAAGTAGACTAGCACTACTTTCGTTGTCCCAAAATACAACCACGACGCCTAGTTCTCTCTCATTCGGATAGCGTGTAGCTGCACGGCCCTGACCGAGGACGTACTTCCTTCTGACGTAACGACGATCTGTAAAGTCCAGTCAGTCTACTCTGCTCACTTGGACCTGCAGCGATGGAGCTCACCTGCAACAGGAGGAGGAAACACAAGTGTGAAAACGAAGCTAATATGTACACACAAGCAAAAATACCACACAGAACGATTTTCAAAAATAATTTCTGGCCCGTCAAAATGTAGTGAATGCATTAAATCATTCAACGAGTTAGGAAACTCCTTTGGAAAAGAAGACAACACTCTCGGTTTTCGTACTGCGTGCGGAGGGTGCGAGCGAATATGATTCTACACAGTTAGAAATCCAATAATGATTTCGAAAGGCGTCAAGTTGATGCCTTGAAAAGTCTTTTCTTGATTGTCTAGAGTGGCCTCCAGCGGCCCTGGCCACCTCGTCCACGCCACGCCCAGCCACGCGCACATTGCACCGGGGTCCCGGGCGGCTGCTGCCCTGGCTCAGCGCGCCCCGCCCAGCCCATGCAGGCCCCGGGACGCTTGGGGACGTAATTTCAAATCCGAACCCATCATGAGCCCTTAAGGGCGACCCGAGCAGGGCAGAGAGGGGAGGGTGGCGCTGGGAGCAGCCGAGGGGTTGGGAGCCCCTAAATCTGCTAGCGGGCAAGGGGACACACCAGGGCAGAGTATGAGATCTTAATTCCCCCACACACATTCATTCCGCGACGGTCTTCCCTTCGGATCTGACCCGCCAATTCAATTACCACTTCCTCCACACTTGGACGAGGACTCCATCCTATCCCCCAAACCCCCCTTATTTCAGTCCAGGGAAATTCCCAGCCCGCGGGTAATACATAGAGGGAAAGTCCTGCCAAAAAGGGGGTTTCCTAGTAACTCTTTCTCTTTGTATGTGTGACTTTCCGGCCTCCACGCCCTGCCCCCCTACCGCGCCCCAGAGGCCTTGCATCATAGCCTTTCCTCTGTCAGTCCCGTGGGCCATCTGCCGCCTCTCTCTCTCTCTCTGATGACGCATGCACAGAGCTCGGCCGTGCGTGGTCAGCGCGCCCCATTAGTGCCTGCGCACGGCCCAAACAATGCAATCGTTAGCCCTCCTGCTCTGCCTTTTATCGGCCTCTGCTGCGTTATTCGCCCTCGTCCCCTTATTTGCAGCCACGCCTGGCCCGAGGGTGGCGCAGCCAGCGCGCGCGGTTTCAACTTTACGACGCGGCTCTGTTGTCCGCGCGCCGCCCATGCGCTGCGCCCGGGAGACAGAGAGTGACCAGAGATGACCCTCTCACCCCCGCCTTATTATCCCCGCAGATGGGCCGGCCCTCGCCCTCCCCCCGCCTCACCCCTCACGACGATAAACACAACCCGACCCAACCCGGAGGGGTTGCGCCCTGCTGCTGCGGCTGATCGGACCGATGGGGGAGAGAGAGATGGCTTTGATGAGGGCTAAGGAGGGAGGGAGAGGAAGGAGGAGGACGTCGTCCTAGGGCAAGGCGAGAGCGACCCACCCAGGAGAGGGCCAGCACACCAGAGGTGCCGGTCTGAGAGCCCTTGGGCTCTGCGTTCCTTTCTTCCACCTTTATTCATTCACCCCAAACCCTTAAAGAAAAAGGGAAAAACCACTTGTAGGTGTGCAGTCTACGCCGGTCTACGCACAACCTGCTCTCTTCTCTTTGGCCGGCCACTGGAGGCACCTGTATCAGTGGCACCACCGTAAATAATAATTGTCACCGCATGACTACCATTCTCCCTGTCGGACCCAAATAAACACGGTGAAAACAATGTCTCATTTTTTGAGGGTAAAGGGAAAACTTTGAGGAACTCCCTTGGTTTGAGGAAGGCTCCTCAGATTTTGAGGTCTCCTCAAAAAATAAGGCGTTTTTCCTTATTTTTTGAGGAGTTTTCCTCAAACATGGAAGGCCCTCAAAGTTTTCCATTTTCCCTCAAAAAATGAGACGTTGTTTTTACGGTGAAGAGGTGAAACACTAGATGTCCCTCTACACAGGGGCGCCGGAAGTTGATTTTGCAGGGGGGGCGGAGTAACAAAAGGGCCCGGATTTTTCCAAAAGGGCCCGGTTTTTCGCAAAGCGTTTATCTTTTTAAAAATGACCAAAATGCAGGTTTTTGCAAAGTTGTGTTCAAAATGATATTTCAAATAAATTGCAATTTATCTCTAAGTGCTTTTACTGTCCCATTATTGGACAAAATATAGTCAAAGTCCTGTCAAGTCAAGTCATTTCACAAATATGATGTCATTTTGACGTCATTTTCAGTCAATTTGAGGTCATTTTGACATCATTCTGACTCCAAATGTCGTTAAAATGACATCATATTTGTGAATTGACTTGACTTGACATGACTTGGACATTTTTTTGTCCACTGGGGTCTGCCTAAGGGCACCTCCAGTGCTTCGCGGGGCCCCTTTTCCAAGTTTTCGCTTCTCTTGTCGGTTGATCAGGCCCGTTTCGGAGGCCCAAAAGCACCTACAGGGCCCGCTTCGCAGGCTAAGAGAGGGCCCGCTTCGCGGGCCGAAAGGGCCCGCAGCCGTTTCAGGGGGGGCATTTGGCCCCCCCTGCCCCCCACTTCCGGCGCCCCTGCCTCTACAAATAAAGACTGTACTCAATTGCGTCGTTGTTTGTTGGTCAAGTGTAGCAGGAGCCGGGCAGATTCTGAAGATGCTTTCAACAGTAAATTGTAACAATCGAGGGGAAAATCATTTGCAATCGATCGCACACCCGTCCAAGATAAACATGTTAAGTTGTACGAAGTAAATGCACTGTAGGTGATTTTATCAATTAACGAACAAACAACTGTTAAATTTTATACACGAACTTACAATTTGTTCATTGCCTACGAACAGTTCGTATTTTTGGATTTGACAAACATTGTTCGTAAAAGCAGAATACGAACTGTTCGTGAGGAATTTTATCGTAAAATTACGAAATCTACTAACAGTGTGCGAAATGTTGCGAAATAGGTGGTGAAACAGTCGCGAAACACCCCGAGATGTTCCGAAATGGCAGCGAAATAACGAAATGGCACGGGAAATACAACGAAATACCTGAGTGGTTTCCTGTGATTTCCCCGCCTCGATCGAGCGTAATCAGTTCAGTAATCTCACTGTTTGCCGATGTTTCTACGAGAAGCACTTGTGCAACAACGAAGCCCAATCGAGTGGCATCTCAGGCTTCTGGGTACTCATGAGATGTTTTCCAATCTGCTCTTGCGACAGAGTGAGCGATAATTGTCAGAAGAACACCCGCTTATAAAACCATCTGTTCCCTTGCCAAAGACATCAGAACCTGACTGTCTCATAGCAGAAATGGCCACCAAAACCGTCGTTCTCTTCGCTGCAGTCGTGCTAGCCTGTGTAAGTACCTCGACATAAAACTAGCTAACTGTGGCAAACATTTTTGCTATAAGATTATGCTTATCTGACTAGAAAATAAACTACATGTAAAAATGTAAACGCCTTCCAAGTTGTGGCAAGAAACATTTTTTGTTTCGTTCTGAAACGCCATTATATTTTTGTTGTACAGTTGAGCGTCGCCGTGGCTGGCCCGCAAAATAGACAGGTATGTATATGACTTTTTTGAAATTCTAATCAGTGCTGCCTTTGGTATAAGTCACCATTCCCGTGGCTTTCGTTAAATTTAAAAGCTTGCAAATAAAATTTCTGAAATTTTGTGTAGCTCAACGCATGCAGCAGCAGGACGCTCGGCTACCTCAAGCAGCAAATTCAAATCTGCTGTAGGAGCGTCCCCTCTCAGCAGTACTTCAACCCCGGCTTTGTGTGCGGCAACGAAGTCACCTCCTCGCTGGAGAGAGACTCATCCTGCTCCCTGCAACGCGCCCCGGAAGTGCTGGGCCGCTGTCTTCAAAGGCACTACCTCCAGGGCGACGCGGCCACGGCCTGCCTCAAGAAAGCGCTCGACAACGGAGTCTGTTGTTAACCACAATGTTGCACAATTGTGAAAATTAAATATAAACGGTATAAAGTAAATCAGAAAACCCATTCTTGCATGAGTTTCAAATATGAGCTTAAAAACGGTCGAAAACCCCAGTTCCTGCCAAAAAAGGCAAAAACGGTACAAAAATCTAAATCAGGAATCTATCTTGAAAGCAGATGATACTAATTTAATACTATAGTATACCTGTGTTTTAATATTTCTAGTTTGATTTTTATTTGTGGTGGTTTTGCATCATATTTCAAATGTTTTACTCGTTTATCGTCTTGACAGGCATTATTATAAAGGGGAGGGAGGAGGGAGCGTACCGGACGGCAGCCGCGGCCGTGGGTGGGACCCTAGTATTGTTGAGCAGGGGCCTGACGCGACACTCAGCCACTCAGGCACTCACTCACTCACTCACTCACTCGGTCCCCCTGCGCCAAAGAAATTGTTTTCTGGTCTGCGCTTGGTTCTCTGTACTTACCGAGAGTAAAAGCTAGCTGACAGCTTAAAGTTTCTTAAAGTATATTCTTTATGTTTAGTCAAAAGGTTTAAGGTATCAGCTGCTAAAAAAAAAATGAACTCGGGTGGAGACAGAAAGAGGAGTGAGAGAGGAATAAAACGCCCAAGTCGTCGCCGTCGGCATCCGAGTCGATCGCAGTCGATCCAGCGTAACGGAGAGGCAGGAGGAGAGCTGGGCAACAGAGACAGGGAGAGGGGCGGGGGGGAGACGACCAGTTTTAATGAGAGGGCAAATATTTGCGAATATTTGCCGTCCGCGCGCAAATGTTTGAACTCTCTCGCGCCCGGGCTCCGCACCGGAACCACTAAGCGAGAAAAGAGGCCGCAGCAAAGGAGGGCGGAGGGTAGGGAGGG